AAAAAAGAGAGCGAGCTAGGGGAGCTGCGGGAGAGAGAGAGAGAGAGAGAGAGAGAGAGACGGGAGCCGACGCGCGCCATCTATCTAGCATGAATACAGACGGAACCACGAGATGACTAGAGCATGGCTCGGGCAGTAAATTACAGCGTATTCTCTGCTGCCTTAATACACTGTTTGATCTGTGTGCCAGAATGCTCTCCTCAAAGACACGCGCGTTTCGCGGCTCAAGTGCCATGGCTTCCAAAGTTTTAATCCGCCGCCACCCCGAGAGGATTTTGTCCCGCTCGCCCCGGAGGCAAGCACGTCTCGCGATAAACTCGAACGCACGCACGCACGCGCGCATGCACACGCGGATGTACACGCGCACGCACGCACGCACGCATGCACGCACGCATGCACAGGCGGATGTACGCACGCATGTGCGCACGCACGCATGCATGCACACGCGAATGTACGCACGCACGCGCGCATGCACGCACGCATGCACACGAGCATGCACGCACGTACACAAGCATGCACGCACGTACACAAGCATGCGCGGACTATGCGAACACATATCTTCCTCCATCTATACCCGCTCTTTCTTCTGTACTCTCTTTCCTCTTCCTCTCGTCTTCAATCGCCCCCCCCTCTCGCTTTCTCTCTCTCTCCTCGCTCTTTCTGCGTCTCCGCTCGTCTCGTCTCTACTCTCTTCTCGCTCCTTTCTCTCTCTCTCTCTCTCTCTCTCTCTCTCTCTCCTCTCTATTCTCTCGCTCTTTCTCTCTCTCTCTCTCTCTCGCCTCTTTCTCTCTCTCTCTCTACTCGTTCTCTCTCTCTCTTCGTTTCTCTACTTCTCTCTCTCTCTCTCCTCTCTGCTCCTCTCTCTTCTCTCTATCTCTCATCTCTCTTTCTCTTCTCGCTCTCTCTCTCTTTCCTTCTCTCTCTCTCTCTCTCTCTCTGCTCTCTCTCTCATCGCTCTTTCTCTCTCTCTCTCTCTCGCTCTTTCTCTCTCTCTCTCGTCTCTCTCCTCTTTCTCTCTCTCTTCTTCTCTCTCTCTCTCTCTCTCTCGCTGCTCTTGTCGCCTCTCCCTCCCTCCCTCTCTCTTCCCCTCTCCTCTTCTCCCTCTCTCTCTCTCGCCTCTCTCTCTTCCGCGCTCTCAGTCTCTGTGTGATCTTAGGCACTTCCAGCGCTGTGTAATTAGTTGTAAGACAAACAAGACGCAGCACTGACGGAGGGTTTTTTCCCGTGCGCACGCTAGTGTGCTTGCGTATGCTGTCATGCGTGCGTGCTGAGTGTGCATGTGTGCGTGTGCCGTGTGCGCCGCTGCCGTCACGTGGTGGTGCGTGTGCGCGTGTTGCGTGTGTGTGTGTGTGTGTGTGCGCCTGTCGTGTGTGTGTGTTGTCGTGCGTGTTGTGCGTGTGCTGCTGGTGTGCGACTTGTTGCGTACGCGCGCCTGTGTGCTGTGCGCTGGCCGTGGAGTGCACAGTGTATGTGCTGCTGGACTCGTAGTTGGCGTGTGTTGTGCTGTGTGTGTGTGTGTGTGTGGTGTGTGTGTGTAGTGTGCTGTGTGCCACGATGTATGTGTGCGTCGGTCCGTGTGTGTGGGTGTGTGTGTGTGTGTGTGTGGCACATGTTATGTTGTGCGGTGAAGTGTTGGTGTTCGCCGTGTGCGAGAGATTGCAAGCTTATAGGAGCCAGAACAATCATAGGCCTAGTGCGAGTTTCTTTCACGAGTCGCTGTTCGATATAACATCAATCGCCATTCAGGCGAGATAATGCTAGATATGACGATATTTAGAGCGTCTGCGTTTATGAGAGAGAGAGAGAAGAGACGTGGAGATGGAGGAGGAGCGAGAGAAATTATAAGGAGAGAAGGAAGAGAAGAGGGGAGTAGAGACGCGAAGAGAGACGAGAGGGAGAGGAGGCAGAGACACGAGAGCTGTCCGGAGCCCAGTCGTAGCCGCGAGAGAGAGAAAGAGAAAGAGCAAAGAGAGAGAGAGGGAAGAGAGATGGAGAGATGAGAGAAGAGAGAGAGACGAGAGATGACGAGAGAGCAGAGAAGAGAGAGAGAGAGAGAGAGAGAGAGAGAGAGTAGGTCGCAAGGCACAAGTGCGTCACACTCTCTTGGATGCAGGCTCTCGCATAGTCTAGCGAGAAAAATCGGTCATTTCTGTCGGCTTGGCAGACACGCGTTTCCGATATCGCTCGCCGACGCGTAGTATTATATACATACTATATATATGGATTATATATTATATATACTAATATATATACTATATTATGCGCCTCGAGAGATAGCGGATGCACGCCTCGATCTGGCGACTCTTCAGCGCTCTGCCTGCGATCAACGAAACATTAACGTGGACGCTAGCCAGCAACGTCGACGTAAGCGCCGCTTGTTCGGTGCGTTAGTGTGTGTGCGCGTCGGCCAAACATTCATATACACCGCATCAGGTCGCCGCGCGCACACACACGCACACACACACACACACACACAGCACGACACGCACACACGTACACACACGTTTAGCACACACGCACACACACACACCACACGCACACACAACACACACACACAGTACACACACACCGACCTTACACACACTTACACCACCACACACACACACACAAACACACACACACACAGCACACACGCACAACACACACACACACACGCGCACACACACACACGACACACACACACACCACACACACGCACGCACAACACATCACCTGCAGCAGCAGCAGCTATCACATCAATAACACCAACGACAATAACAACAACAGCAACAACGACAACAACAACAGCAGCAACAACAACAACATCAGTAACAACAGCGACAACGATAACAACAGCATCATCATTGACGTCACGTAATGTTCTTCTTCTCCATTATCGTCATATACACAGCTTCCGATCAGTCGCATTTATTTTTCGCTGGCTTCCCACGAGACCCCTCACTCGCAGCCTCCGCATCCTCCGAGATGCGAGGGAAGCGCTGTATATGCGGGTTATAATTAGTGCGGAGGTTAGCATCCGCTGCTCCGGTTGCGCCCTGTCAGATAAACGCGTGTATCGCGAGGGCTACGTACGTGCGTGCGTGCGTGCGTGTGTGCGTGCGTGTGTGTGTGAGTGAATTAGTGAGTGTGTTTCTGTTAGCTGTATGCATGGCACGTATATCGCAGCGTGGTTGTTATGCATGTACATACGTTAAAGACGCTTTTCCACAAAATCTATATTGGCAAGCAAAATCCTGGCATAAAAAGGGCATATTTGGGCTATGAGGCTTTACTTATATATATGTACGGCAGCTTAAAAAATTACATTAATCTCAATTTATTATATTAATTTTTTTTATTACGAAAAATCGTTATAATATATTAATATACCATACTATATATATATATATATATATATATATATATATATATAATAGAGGCGAACGTCATAATATATGAACAGCGTTTACTATTCCTATAATTATGTATTACAATAACTCTCTTTCATATTCTCTCTCAATTCACTACAAAAATTACAAACCCTCTTCTTTCTCTCTATATTCGCGCTGTTTAACTCAACTCAACGATGTTCCAGCCTTGGCATTACCGCGAGAAAACCCGCGAGCCGGACAAGACGTGGGATTACCGATATACCGATATCAGAAGTAGATAATAGGGAATTCCTAATAGGGGGTTCCCTCTTAGGGGGTTCCCTATTATCTACTTCTGCCCGATATACTTCATTCGAACAAACACAGACACGCTACACACGCGGATCTCGTGTTTTCGCCTTCAAAGCTAACGTTACACAGGTATAGAGAGCGAGAGCGTTTCAGTCCTCTATTTTTCTTACGTTCTCGTTACGCGGTGATTTCATCGTGGAGAAAAAAATGTGCCGCGGCGGAACGAATGGGATTTTCGAAAAAGATTTTGTCGTGTGAAGGCATCTTTCGTGTTCGTTTTTTTGCAGTCGGTGAAGAATCAACGGCGTATAGCGACTGAAGTCGTGACGACGGCGACGGCGAGGACAAAATGTAAGCCGAACCGCAATTAGAAAATGAACTAACTAACTGACGAAGCATTAGTGCTAGTAGAATCAATTTGTACTCTCTGCCCCCCCCCCTTTTCTCGCTTCTCTCGCGCGCTCCCTTCTCTTTCTTTTTTTGTTTATCTCTCTCTCTCTCCATACATTTATGAATTCATCCGTCCATCCATACATCGATCCATCGATCCATCCATACATCCCTCGATCCGTCCGTCTGTCCATCCATCCATCCATCCATCCATCCACCCATTCATCCATGCATACCTGCATCCGTCTCTCTCCTCTCTCCCTACCTCCCCCTCTCTTCTCTCTCCCCACCTCCCCCCTCTCTCTCGCTGTCTCACTCTCCCCCCTCTCTCTCTCGCTCTCCTCTCTCTCTCTCTCTCTTTGTATTAAAAGCGCAGTTATTTCGTTCGCCGCTCAATTAGTGCTGAAAATCAGCGATAGTGATGACGCAGCGCCCAGAATACGCGCTGACGCTGACGCTGACGCTGATGCTGACGCTGACACTAACGTTACATGCGGCTACTGCTGCTGCTAGAGCTACTGCTACGTAGTCTCCTGCTGCCGCTGCTGCCGCTACTACTACTACTGCTGCTGCTACTGCTGCTACTCTGCTACTGCTACTGGCTACTACTACTACTACTACTGCTGTTCCTACTGTTGCTACTGCTGCTGCTACTGCTGCTACTGCTGCTGCTACTACTGCTGTTGCTACTGTGCGTACTGCTGCTGCCGGCTACTACTACTACTGCTACGGCCTGCTACTGCTGCCCACTGCTACTGCTGCTGCTACTACTCCTACGGCTGCTACTGCTGCTACTACTTCTGCTGCTTCCTACTACTGCTACGAGTGGCTACTGCTGCTCTGCACTGATACTGCTGCTACTACTGGCTGCTGCTACTGCTAGACTAAATCGTCACGGGCATAAATAAATTCTACCGATCGCTTCCGAAAAAAATAATATGTTTCGAGATACAAAGGACGAGGATAAAATGAGCACATGTGCTGCGCAATGAGAGCGCGACACGAGTGGCTTCGGTAAGAGCTCCATGGTGCGTGTAGAGAAAGGGTGTGAGCGTGCGTGCGTTCGTGGCGGTCGTGCCGTGCGCGCGTGTGCATGCGCCCGTTGGCACCCACTCGTCCGCTCATTGAAATGATTCTAGCAGAAAGACTTCGTCAAATTGCCTTCCTCTTTACTCGCCAAACA